AAAAGTTGAAAGAAAAATATAAAATTCAATTCTTCACCTGTTAAATTGATTCTCTCCTTCTCTCTTCTCGGTAAAAAATCATACAACACAGCAACCAGAATTGCCCCCCGTCCTTATCCAATTACAGTCGAAACTGACTGGTGTATTACTCGATTCCAATTTATCAAAGCAGCGATCTATCTTCGATTATTTCAAATATTTACCTATTGAACCGACAATGTTCACATTAGAGAGGTTTTACTATAGTATTCTATGTCATATTAATAACCAACACAATTCAGCTACTATAAATAAGATTCAAGTATTGTGTTTAATACCAAGGGTGAAGCAGCGGACTTGAAGTCGAAAAGTACTTCGAAGTACCTGACAGTAACTTCATGTCCAAAACTGCGCCTTTCCTCCTTGTTTAAAACAAATGCATACGTATTGTCAGTTCTACAGAAGATCCTTTTATTTAACATTTATATGCCTTATTGTGCGTTGACATCATTGTTAGTTCTTAAAGTCGACTTTTTATTTCATTTGTTTTGCTATTAAAATAATATCAAGTCTAATTTAGTTCATTGGAACTGAAATCTTACTTTCAATCTGATTTGAGATGGGTTAAGTTCAACATGAAAGAAAAGAGAAGCAATGAACTGTCATTCAAGCGAAGCCTCACAGAAAATAACCGCTGACTGTAAAAACTTTGAAAGCTAAATTTCAATGCTATTTGACATCTGCCTGATCTTGTTTAAAGCTTGCGTAGTGACTGACACATTGATAAGGAGAACAATTGTTGAAAAAAACGTTTTTAATCATATATAGCTATATTCACACAGTAATTTGTTGTATATAATATTCTCATCTGCAGAGAACACTGTGCATTTGTTTTAACACAAAACTTGAATCTTCTTTATAGTAACTTAATTTTGTTGGTTACTAATATGGCATAGATTACTATTATTTTTACATTAATCTTGTAAACATTAATTCGTGTATTTTGATATTGATCGTTGATAAATAGTAAGGATAACAGATTGTAACAATATAAAGAGATAAGCATGTTACATAATAAATTAAGCAGTACTATTGTAATTATTTGACGTCTGTCAATTGTTGAAAATATTTCATTATACAAGCATGAAGGGTTATATTTTATTCCTGTTTTGTGTTTGTTTTTTCTGTGTCAATAAATTGCTGGTGAAAAGTTTGGTTTCGTTCACATGTTAAAAGTTCATCTCCTTTGTATTCAATCTTGAAATTTGTTTCCATGTATGTAAATATAACACGTAAAAAGTTTTAGTATTTCGATTAGTACAGGAATAACAACATATCTCAAATATGTTTTTAATGCTAATGAAAAGTGTTTTGAAATGATTGTTCTTATGATAGAAATAGCCTCAATTATTTAAGAGAAAATGAAACCGTAAAGGAAGCTTCGTTTTCGGTAAATCCAACATCAATTTTGTTGAATGTTAAACATTAGGCTATTTTTTTAAACACAAATGTGCTACCAAAAGTGGATCATAATATAATCGAAATTGTTCCATTATAATATATAATTGCTTTTAGAGGTATGTTGATCACACGACACGTTGAGTTGACTTTGTTTTGGATCAAACCCTGCAGTTATCTAAAAATATAAATGTTGCAGATATTTTACATTTAATTTGGCATATTTAAAAATTGTTTTCAAACTTTGAAAACTACACATTTATTCTCTACAAGTATTTTTAATACGAATTTTTGTTTTAGTTGACTGGGCACCGGTGATGGCTTCAGTGAGCACCACGGCTTTGATTAACTTAATAATAGATGTTATTCGGTGGGCCTTAGCCTCGAGTGATCCATTATGATTTTGGCTGTCCCGTGTTTTGGTGATAGTTTTGATTGCGCTACCGCTTTCAATTTTTATGTGCTGCAAACGTAGAAAATAACTTTTGAAATAAAAAAGAAGAAGATAAAATATTTTTATTTGTTTTTTTGCTTAAACAATAGTTTGAACACTTTATTAACAGAGAATATATCAAAGAAACTTGATATGATCTCTAGAGATACCTGAAAATTGAAATCGTGCAAGATATCTCATTCAGTAGTATTGGGATTTTTACCAAAGACATTATTCATTGAATATTACGATCGCAAGAAATGATTTTTGTTTGATAAACTATTCAAGCAAACGATTTGAGATAATTCTGAAAACTCATGTGTGCTATGTATTGTTACTCTATTTATAATTCATATCAGATATTTCGCTAGTTAATGCTTATTTTCTAAATGTCTCTTTATTTTTGAAAAGTAGTACATGTTTCAATTACGAAACTTTTCACAGTTTTGAAATTAATAGAGTTTAGGTTTATAACAATTGATTAATGAAGGAATAAATATTAGCTGATACTATTCTTGTTAATCAATTTTCTGTTTTTTTCCAAAGATCTGTATCGAGACAACCATACCCGCATCTGCTCACAAGACAGATTGTTCAATGCACAAATGGTAAATGCCGTAGTAGAATTGAGAGATATAATAAATTATAGCACACGCATTGAGCAAATGTTTCTTTCTCGCTAAAATGTATTAATTAATATTGGAACCCATCACACAATTGTTTTACTTAATCAGCAACTTGTTATATCGAATTCAAAATTTGTCTACATTCAAGATAAAGTAATAAAATAGTACTAGTATTGTCAGTTTGATTTGATTTACAGATAATGTCATTTATTTACAACCAAAGCGCATCTTCCATATGGAAACTCCAAAAAAAGAAACAAATGTATTGAGTAAAACCATTCATGTATAAGAAGATCTTGAATCCTCGACTCTATTTTATTGCTTAAAGTCTCAAAGTATAAGCGGTGCCTTCTTTTGTCTCTTAAAAAATTCGTGTATCTTAAATATGTATGTTTTTAGTATCTCTAATTGCTTATTACAACTATGATTATTTTATTTTAGATATAAATCAGCGAAAGAAAATATTGTAAAAATGACTTCTGTCATTTTCATATGAACTATCGATTATATTACGTTAAAAACGTATGATTGATGTGGCTTTATTATTCTACCATGACAAAATATACAGTGTATTGCTAAAAACTCAGATTAAGTTGACAACAATATAATAAATCTTTCAATCTTCGAATTCATTTGTTGATCTAGAATTTCACTTGGTCTCTTTGCATTTACGATGAATAAACTAGTGTTAACGAGAAACAGTATTGAATTTCTTCTTATAGAACTTTAAAATAACTTTTATATCACTTATGTAAGAAACAGTTACCACATATTTTTTGTTTTTAAAGTCGATAACATTTCAATTCGATCACAATTAATACTAAATGAACATTTGACTAAAACATGTAAGAAGATTTTAGTAAATCCATATGAATTAGAATTTAATTTTATGAGAATTCTCTACAAATTCTCTGATATTTTATATAATACATTAGAATGATATTTTGATTGATAATACGCTTCTATTTAAATTTTATTCAAGTATGCTGTGCAGAGCTAGGACGAGTACAAGTACAGCAAGTAAAAGTATTTTACTTGTACTTGAGAATGATAAAGTACTTAATATTTTTCTTGAAATATATACACCAAAGCTTTTTACTATAATCTTGACTACTTCAGACAAAGGCTTTATGACTAATATCAGGCCAACTGATAAAAAACTAGAGGAAAGCAAAAATGTTTTATTGAAATTCTTGTCATTGAAATAGTGATATATTCGCTGTAAGACACTTGAAAATTATTTCTATTTTCATTGTTTGATATCCTTCAAAACGATGTATGCTAAGCACATATGATGATGCTTGTTTCGGTAACTACAATAGATATAATTCTCTATTATGTTCATAAGAATCTAGTTTACCTCAGATTGGTGCTTTCAAGTTCGGACCGACTATCTCTTTGCTACATTTTCGACTGATTTATATGATGCTTTCGATTTTGGCTCGAAGAATTTTAACGTGAAATGTGGATGAAAAATTTCTTGACTATATATATTGAATTTTTCTGAAGGTTGATATTAAAACAATTGATTTCACCTAACAATATTTGACTTAAAATAAATTCAGCGTATACGATCTATTTTGATATATGAATGATAATTTAGATAGGTTATTACCGCGAAGATTGAAATCTGCTTTAAAGCAATAACCTAGTCATCTAAAAGTCATTAAATCTATCTACAGACAAATAATTTCGAAAGCAAACACCTTATCTTTTCAGATGTAAAGCATCGAAAATATTGAAAATTATATAGAAAGTCTAAAGTATTCAGCGTGTTTTCAGTCAAGCAGATGTTATTATGTCACCAAGACGAGCATCTATGAATGAAGAATTATTCGAAAGTTTGGTTTCTTACTTGTGAATCAGAGTTTGATTTAAGAATTAGTTCTAAAACTCTCTCGTAATTTAGATTCATTTTTATATTTCTTTTTTTATGTTGTTTTTTAACATTTAAGTTTTTTATTTGTATAATTTCGAAGGATCTTATCTTTTAATATATTCCATGTTTTCAAACAGCTACTGAATGATAGTCTTGTTTTTAGATATAATTCTAAATTAAATAACTGAACTCACTCATCACTGAAGAAGGACTAGTATACGAAACACAGTATAAGATTCAAATTTAAATTCGCATAAACAATTTACATCAGTGTTCCCTTGGAATATCGTGAAGAATTAAATGCTATTTTTCACTCTAGTACTCTAACTGCAATTGTGAAAATTTCAAAGGAAAGAGAAAGATCTTTTAACGGTAAAAGAATGAGTAAGGCATGGTTTCATGCTTTAAATGAAAGTTCGACACACAAGCTTTTGTAATTCAGTATAGGTACAAAAATATTTGTCTCGAAGTACAAGTAAATATACTTTCGTCCGAGCTCTGATGTTATATGATGAAAGATATTTGTTCAAATACGGACTGCCACCTCCTGAAGTTAAAAAAGTGCAAAAATCAGTTAGAAAAAAGCAGAAAGTTGTTCTTAGCGGACTCTTCACATGTCTATGGAGCAAACAATTTGTTTCGTCTCTGCATAGCATTTCTGCATTCTTAAGATCTCAAAAATATAGAAAGTCACTTTTTGGAATTTAGTTGAATTTAGTATTTGAGTAGTTATCCGTTAGAACTTCTTGTTGAGACAATCGATATTAATATATTTACGTATTTCTATAAAATATGCCAATGGATCTGTATTTCTGCAACTGTTAAATCTACTCCCATTCAATTGCAAAAATCATTGGACAAATGTCTTACTTTCGAAAAATAAAACTTTCGCCATTAGTGTGATCTATCAGAATAGAATACAGAATGAATTATATACAGATACAGACTATGAGATTCTTTCTGTACTTGGTATTTTTATATTGGAATTTCTGGACACAATCCAGAGAATCAAAATATGAAAAGAACACCAAAAAATTGCTGTTTATTTTATAATTAGAAACCGAATTTTTTTCAATGTTTTTGACTATCTGGGAATGAAAAATGAATCCGATATCTTCTTTGCGAACAACAAAAGAGAATCTTAAGTTTGACAATAACATTTTCTATATTTTCAAAATTTTCCTTCTCTTATACTTTATCGAGATACTTCTGTTAAGATCATAATTCAATTGGAATACTACGTAAAACACATTATGAACATAGTTCACAACGATATATTAATTGTGAATAAGTAAATAAATTTTCCATTCAAAGATCAATGGGATTGAAAATCAGAAAAATTCTGAATAAGGTTTCTCGATAACTAAAATTCGAAGTAGTAGATAAAATCTCAATGTTAAATTACAAGTCAGCTCAAACGAGCATCACTAAGATCGAATAATAATCTTAAATATTATGAAAATAGATCTTGTCTTTATTAATTTATCATAAAACTTTCAAATATTCGAAATAAAGTCTATGTCGAAAATGTAGCATTGATTTTACGTTGAATATTCATTTTAAACTTGTGTTATAGTAAAATGTTCCATCAACTATATCAAAATTGTGATTCAAATCAATTTGAACATATCGATGGGCGTTTGTATTTTTTGATATGTTAATCGTAAAATATATCATTACAAACACATGTTTCCATTGTTTATGATGATAATGCATAATTAGGTCGTCGTGTAGTTGCTGAAACATGTAACTGTTGATGATGATAATGAAGAATTATTATTAGAACAACATGCTTGAAGTTCATATGAAGTATATAGTTGCATATTATATGCACAGATATAATCAATTATTAATTTAGATTATATTATATGAACAAATAAATAAACGTAAAGATTTTCCTAAATGTACATGTATACTTTAGTTACATTGTTTATCATCTAACGGAATCCTTGATCCAAATCATCAAATACATATTTTGAAAAAAAAAGATTACGTATACTTAACTTAGATATTCGTATTGGTTTAATACATTGTTAAGAAAATATTAAAAACGAAAAAAAAAGAACTACACTGTAATTGAATTTTGTCTTCATCGATTTCTATAAGCAATCAAAGTCATGCATATTTCTGTGTCAGGTGAAGTTCATGATTTGAAGCAATCAAAATATTAATCGAGATTTCTCAATGAAAAATCTTAAATAATCATTATTCTTTTGCTAATTGGCTTTATGCTAACTGAATATATAATTATATATATTTTTACGGGTAAAATAATGTGATAGAAAAACAGGATTGAATGATATGAAAAGTTTTGATTATGATAAAAGCTTATTAGTGCAGCTCCATTGGGGCTAAAATATGGAACTCACATATATACCTAAGGCTCACTAACAGGGTTGCCAGATTCAAATTTCTAAAACCAGGAGTTTCTGCCAAAAAATCAGAAGTTGACCAGGAGATTTG